TGTTGCTGCCAGGGAGGAGGTAAAACTAAGGTTTACTAGGACAGGTATGAATACAGGGATGCCTTGCCCTACCAGCCCTGATTTATTATCATGATAACAGCACTCTTTAGCTTGTCCCTGCAGGGAGGCTAGAGAGACTGGGATAGATTAGGAATGCTGCTCTTCTTGACCTTTGGGTGGGGAGTAACCATGCTAATTCATACTGACCATATAGGATGAGCTGAGGAACTACATACAGTAACTGGAAAACAAGGTCCTGCTGTGGAAACATTTACACATTTACTTATTCGCTTAGCCAAAGTTGGTAGCTGGAGGTTTTTTATGACCCTGCATCTATCTAGAGTAAACCCTAAGTGGTGGGGGTGAGGCACAGGCCTGAATAGATAATTGTGGAATGAGATAATGGTAGCTTGGAGGGAGAGAGAAGTTGGGCTGTGTTTGCTTTAGAACTGTTTTAGGAGGGGCTGCAGGTAAAGGCAAAGGAATGCGGACAAGCTGGGTTAAGGGGGATGGTGAAAAAAGTATAGTGGAGTGGGGAATGTGGGACAAAAGAGTATAGGGGTCGGGACCTACCAAGTGTGTGAGGATAACAGCTTCATTGATGAGGTGCAGGTCCTGGACCAAGTGATAAGTACCATTTGTTTTCTTACTGGTAAGCTTGGAGTGTTGCAGGGAGAGTGGGTAAGATTAATGAGGTTGTTAGAAAGGAGGCATTGTATGAGGGGTTAACATCAGGAGGCAATGAGGTCTGTAGGGCCAGTTCTTCCAGGTTGGGTGAAAGAAGGGGAAGGAGCAGAGGTGCTGTGAGACCAAAAGTAAGGTGCAAGGAGGCTCCTAACTTATTTAAAATGTTTTTTTCCCAACAGAGGGACAGGGTACAAAGGGATTATATTATATGGAAGGAATGAGTAAAGGGCTAGTATACCTGGGGCAGGTAGGCTTGCCTTCAATATCCATGACCAAGATTGAGGAAGGACTGCCTAGCTCTGAAAATGAGGGCAGGTCAGAAAAGACAGCTTCTGTGTAAGAAGGAAATTTACTCACCCAGTACCTTGAGCAATACCCCAGGCTTTGCGAGGGTGATCAGGGTACAGTTAGGGTCTCTTCAGCCTTTGGCCAATCCCAGCAGGACCAACGGCGAGTCAGGAATTGGAAGGACAGTACCCCCGCCTGGAGACACAAAGGGCCTGTCGCTTTTCCAAGGACAGTCGGACTTCCAGTGTCACTTTGACTGCATGCCGGGCAGGGTTTGGTTGGAGCTTTAGGCCTGGGGCACTTTTGTGACCAGTGTCCTTCTTCTCCTCACTTGAAGAAGGCACCAGGTGGCGGTTGTTGTTCCCATACACCCTTGCCCCACGCTGCCCTTCTGGGGCTGCAGGGGATCGTGGGCCACAGGGCTGCTACTAAGGCTTGGGTTTGAAAATTTACCTTCTGTCAGAACCAGGCTTTACAGGCTGACTCTACCTGCTCCTCACGGCTGTTAAAATCTTAAATGCCATATTCGCTAAATCTTGGACCAGGGCTTGAGGGCCTTTCTTCCACTTTTTTTAAGCTTTTAATGTAAAGCATCAGTTACACAGCTTAAAAAGGTGGCTGGATTCTTGTCAGTGATCTTAAGTTTATTAAAATTGACTCCTATATGGGAAATGGCCTGAAGCCAAGCCAGGACACACTGAAGCATTTTATTATAGCAGGCACATCTGTCCCTACCTGCTTGATTGTCAATTTGATAACTCTAACTAGGTTTTTGTCTGGGAACCGCCTAGGTCAGGATCTGTCAAAAGAACCTGGTCAGAGTGCTGCTGAACAGTGAGAAAAATACGTTCTTTCTTATCTGCAGTTAGGGTAGAGGAATGGATGACAAAAATATCATGCCAGGACAAAGCATAAGCTTGAGTTAAATATTGAAACTCCTTAATATAGGTGGTGGGATCATTAGAAAAGGAGCCGAAACGCTTTCCAATATGAGATAGATCAGTGAGAGAGAAGGGAACATGAACCGGACCACTCTCTCAGCACCCACCACTTTCCGGAGCGGACAAAGGAGAAGGGGGGTTCTGCCATCACAAAAGTGTGCTCACTAACTGGCAGGGTGAATGTAGACTCGGGTTCCTCCAGAGAGGCAGGTAGATCAGACGAAGAGGATGTGGGGGGCTCCAAGTGGCCAGAATAGGAAGAGGGGTGAGTAGGAGGGGAGACAGGGTTTTCAGGCAGGGCTGAAAAGGTAGACACCAGAGGGGGTGCAGAAGCAGGAGGAGAAGAGGAATTTTCTTTAGTCAAGAGGACTTGGGAAGGGGAGCAGGAAATACAGAGAAAGGGATGGGAGCTCAGAGGAAAGGCAGCCTGGACGTACAGAATCGCAGACTATTTGTGGGTTTACTGGCAGATTTCAGAGGATATTGAAATCAAAAGTGCGACAGGTGATTAAAGTTACTTCCCAGAGCTTTCTGACCCCCCCTCCTGCCGGTCTCAGGGTGGCAACCACGGATTTGTGAGCTGCCTCTCTATCTGGGAGAGGTCTGTCAGGGGCTGCAGGTGTTGGCTCAGAGGAGGCTGAGCATAAAAGGAGCCGGGAAGGGGAGAGAGAGAGAGAGACTCCAGGGAGTCTGAGGGGTCTGGCTCCAGGGAGCGGACGAGTGTCGGAGGCACAGTGCCTCAGCCTTTGGGAGTTGAGGGGGTAGCGGAGGGAGGTGATGGTGAGGGGTACCCAGAATATGGAGGAGGCCTTACTGGGGGCACAGACAAGGGGTCAGGGGTTCCAGAGAAAGACAGAAGGAGAGTACTGTCAGGGGCCTGATTAAGAGAGTGTTTGGCTAAGAGACCTTGAGCAGGGTGACGGGTAGTAGAGAGGACCGGGAGCGAAGAAAGAAAAAGACCTGAACATATGGGACTTCTTATTATTTGTCCAATTGGTATTGAGGCCAATACAGAAAAAGACCAGGTGTTTAGGGCGGAGATCAGGAGCCAAACCCAATTCAGTAAGGTTGGCATTAGGCACCACAAAGGACTGTCCTTAGGGGGTTGGGACAGAAGACTTCTCATTGTGTCTCAAACTGCAGGGGGTACGGACAGAGGAGAAGGGCATCCCCTAGTCCCCGTTCACACCCATCAGTCAGAAAGTGGTCCAGTAACCCTGAGGGCATCCCAATCGGAGTTAGGGACCCAGGGGAGAGGCCTGGACTCTCTGAAACAGGAAGGTTCCCTGGCGCAGATCTGCGGCTTTTGTCCAGCAGACAGGGACCTCGGATCAGAGAGAGACACAATGGAAGCCCAGGAGGGGGAGGGGGCCTGGCTTTATGGCCGGTAAAATGGAGGTTGGTCAGGCCTTTGTTCAGGATGAGAGGAAGGGGAAGCAGAACATTTTAGAGAAAACACTACAGGGCCACAGACGCAAACCACACAAACAGGTAGAAAAGGCTCAGACACACCCTCTGTGTTCCAGTCCACACAGAAGGTACAGTGACTGCTCGGCCTAGTGCTGGGAGTCCTGTTATCAGCAGGAATCCCAGGAGGTAAACACAGAGACAAAAGCCTGGAGGCCACATGAAAGAAGAGAGACACAGAGAAAAGATGGACACGAGAAACTGGCCTTATCATCGTACCCCTTTCGAGGAAAGGCAGTTATTTCCAGCTCTCTTGGTACTAGGGTTGCAGAATAAACCCCTGCAGTGGTACCACACTCAGCTTCCTAACGTACTTGTTTTCAGGGCTTTCAGCTAGTTAGCCTCCGTGGACCCTACATTCCCGTATGAGTTTGCTGGTCCTCAGTGTCCAGAGCGACAAACAAGACAAATGAGACAGAACGAACATCCACAGAGAGATACTGACCAGAAGAAGTCGCTCATTCAGACAGGCTCCGGAGGTTCAAGAAGAGGGAGGGGTGGGCTGCGTCCCAGCCGAAGCAGGGCCGGGACAGCACGGAGCCCATGGCCCTACCTCTCCCGGGCTTCAGGCATTAAATGTAAGAGTGAAACTGAGGTACAGGGAGACAGGCAGACATAACTGACAGGACAAGGGAGAGCAGAAACAGAAATAACTTCGCTTTATTGGGGGGAGGGGGGGCTCCCAGATGAGGTTCCGTGACCTAGACCAACAGGTCAGGGAAGGCATGCTCAGCAGCTGGGGGCCAGGGTTTTAAAGGGGTGGTGAGGAATGTAGAGCAATTATGACAATTTGCATAGGAATCTGGAAACTCCGAGAATTGCTTGTCGACTCCTTGCGGCTTTCTCTGAACCCAGAGCATCTGGTTTCACTGGTTATCTTATCTGGTACCCTCTGCTGCTGACCTTTGGGGTGTGCAGGGAAGCACGTGCAGGGCCCGGACCTGCTTCAGCTTAGTCCAAACGGGGGCTGCCTAGTTCAAACCCAGCCCAAACACCAACAACACATTACTCAGCTTCACTTTGTTTCCGGAGCCTCCTCCCCTGTTTTGAATATGTAACCATTATTTTAATTTCTATAAACTCTACTTTTCTTCAAAATGCAGCTAAAGTCTTACCTAAATAACATTCTGCCATCATTAATTATGATTTCACACCTTCTTCAACATTCTAGTTTGTACTATTGTTGTTTGCCAGCTCCTTGACAACTGGAGGCACAGTCTTAGATTTTTATCTTCCATGATTTTACCTAGCAATCCTTTTTAGGTCATCAGTGCTCAATACATGCTTATTGTCAACTGGTTAATAGCTGACCTTTCTCTTGCTCCTTAACACATTTACCCTTTTTCTATTATCATTCCATTGCCTTTCACATATTTGTCAATCTGCTCCACTCCCCATGCCACATCCTTAGTCTTAATCCCTCCTTAAACAGCGTCCTCATGCTCTAACATTCCTTTCTGCCTCTCCCTTTCCAATACTTGCCAACCCGTTTATTATTCTGGTGCTCTCTCTGTTTGTGTGAGGTTGTGTAATGATTTATGATGACTTTCATTGTGTCGGCACTATAAAAACTAGCTCCAGTTTGCCAGTGCCCGTCAAAGAAGGGAAGTTCTTTCTGTTAGAACTATAAGACCCAAAAGAAACCAGACGATTCATCATGGACACTTCTGGCAAAGTAAGTTGGATCCATAGTCTCTTCATTACTTATCAAAAAGGTGCACAGTAAAGCCAAATGAAGGCACCTTTTTCTCTGATCAGATTATTTTAAATGTTAATGATAATATCCAGTATTTTCCCCACCTGTGGAAACTCACTGCTGGGAAAACAAATCGCTGGGAATGTCTCAGTTGATGTTTTCATGATATTGTGACAAACTGCTAAAATAAGTGTCTATCCCAGAGGATGTACACTGGTACACATAGGAAGTGGAAACACAGGGAATTCAAGGCGGATGATCCCTTCAGGACCAGTGGTGAGAGTGGCAATACCGAGAGTGGGAGGGTAGCGGGGGAAGGGTGAACCGATTATATGGATCTACATATAACCTCCTCCCTGGCAGACAGACAACAGAAAAGTGGGTGAAAGGAGATGTCGGACAGTGTAAGATATGACAAAATAATAATTTATAAATTATCAAGGGTTCATGAGTGGGGGGAGGAGTGGGTGGGGAGGAGCTGATGCCAAGGGCTTAAATGGAAAGCAAATGTTTTGAGAAGGATAATGGCAACAAATGTACAAATGTGCTTGACACCATGGATATATGTATGGATTGTGATAAGAGTTGTACGAGCCCCCAATAAGAAGATTTTTTTAAGTGTCTGTCACATGACCAGAAATTTATTTCAAGGAAATAATTATGCATGCTTTTGTAACTATGTTACCTGCATGTTTACAGTCTTTTAAATGTATAACAATGAAAACATCATATGTCAAATACTGGGAAATATTAGGGACCTGACTAAGTAAATTACAACAGGTAGTAAGGCTTTAGGTCAGTGGTTCTCAACTTTCCTAATGCTGTGACCCTTTAATACAGTTCTTCATGTTGTGGTGACCCCCCCAACCATAAAATTATTTTGGTTGCTACTTCATAACTATAAGTTTGCTAGTTATGAATCAGATGACCCCTGTGAAAGAGTCGTTTGACTCCCAAATGGGTCACGACCCACAGGTTGAGAACCGCTGCTTTAGGTAGTTACTGTATGTATGTATTACTTTTGTCATTAGAAAGGTTTTCTCATAAATTGTTATTTTTTTTACTTGATCTTGACTTCTTTTAGAATCGTTTGATCCAAGTAATTTATACCACTGAAAGAAATAATGTAGTTTATATCTTATTTAAACTTCCCTTGTGGCATTGTCTTTGAAGACATAAAGAAAGATATATCAGCTTCGTGTATCTTTTGATTGCTAGTGCAGCATAGCTGCAGAAGGAAACACAAATAAAACTATGTGGGGTACCAACAATATCTATGATAAAGTTAAAGTACAGATAGGTACATATGGATGAACCTTAAAAGCCCATGGAGAATCTTGTCAAAGAAAACAAAAAGAACTGGTTCTATACCAGAGGTGCTAATATAAAATTGAACATGAAGAATCAATCACGATTCAAGCTAAGACGATTAGTTTAGATTTCACTTCACACCATACAACAAAATAACTTTCAGTTGGAGTTGAGAGTTAAATGTTCAAAAATCAAATCACAGAAATATAAAAGAGGTGATAAAGGTTATTTATGTGGTCTCTATATGTGGAGAAGTTTAACAATGTTTAGCTTAAGAAGAAATAGATAAATTTTTATCAGCCAAAATCACCTCAAATTTAATGTGTGTGTATATATATATGTATATATATGCATATCATTTTATAATAAATTAAAAGTGTGAGCATATCAGGGAAGAAACATTTATAACAATTCTGGCAGATAATGGCTCAAATATAATCCCATGAAAAGCACCAAGGTGCCAATAGACACATATATACAATGTATGATTAAAACATGCTACAAATGGAGGAAAACACAAATGATGAATATAAACAGTGAAAATATTCTACACCACTAGCACTCAAAGAAAATCCAAATATTCGATTTTGCTTTGTCCCTAGAAAATGCAGGATTTAGCACTTTTACTTTTCGTGACCATGGTTGTGAGCATGAGCTCCTTGATGACCTTTACCTCCAAGGCTGATGTCCAACGGTTCACCCTTTCTGTGGAGGCACTCAGAAATAAATAGAGCCCGAGCAATGTCTCCGCTCTTTCCCAAATACTTTTCACTCAAGAAAATCAGGTAGATAAAAACTATGAACAAAGGTACTTCCTATAGTATATTTTATAATACTGAAAAAAAATTAAATTAATTACATCTCTAGCAGTAGTTACTGAATAAGCAAGGTAGGGCATATTTAAGTCATGTAGTTATTTCTGATTAGGATTTTAACATCGTAAAAAATTGCCTAGAAGCAAATAAATGGCAAATATTCAATAAATGTGGCTCTTAGAAAAAAATTTGGGTGAGAAATTAGTTCTATGACATGATTTCAATTATATTTTTTAATTTATTAAGAATATGGAAATAAATATGCTAAAATTTATGCAACTTATGCCTAAAAGTTCTGGTGAGATTTTTGCTTTTTTAAAATATAATTTAAATTTTTTCCAAGCAGAGAAAACATTATTTGTATAAAGATAATGTTTTCAATTTTTTAATTTCTAGTATTGAAAACATGTTGCTGCCATACTATGTCATTTGCTTTTCTTTGTGTCTACAGACAATTACATGCCAAGCAGCTATTGCCTGGGCAGCAAATTCACCCCTTTCACTTGAGGAAGTTCACGTTGATCCGCCAAAGGCTGGGGAAGTTCGCATTAAGGTAAGTCTAGATCCGTTAGCCTTTACCTTTAAAAGGAAATCTTGTTACGTAATATATATCTGTCTCATTTACACTTTTGGTCTGCCTATCTCTTCTAAGACAAGAATTTCATAAACTGAGATAAGTGCATAGAGCTAATGAAATTTTGAAATACTTCCATTTATGATAAAATATTGGTGATTATTTTTGCCTATTATTAAGATTCATACTTATATTGTATAATATCACAGCCTACAGCATGTGAGCTACAGGATTTTTTTTTGAGAGTTAAATTGTTTCAATGTTTGAGGGGGAGGGGGAAGTGAATGCATTCTTCATAAATCTATGATACATAGTTTATAAACTAGAAATGTATATCCACATTTTGCTTTTAATTATTACAGCTGATACTGATGAGGGTGAAGTAAAAGATGATAAAGAGTCTGTATAATAGAAAATCAAGTACACTTCGAGGGCAAATTCTAAATGACTCGTCCTTTCTGTAAAGTTTTGAAAATAATTTAACTGTAATAATATGTCTTCCCTTTCCCAAACAATTCTCACTTAAATGGTAAAAATTGTTAATAAAGGAGCTTAACTACAGTATATTTTATAATACTCATAGAATGGAAATAGTGACTAATCTAGCTACTGATTAAGCAGGTTTGGGCACATCTAAATGATGAGGTATAAGTAGTCCTTCAAGACTGTGATTTACAGGTAAACAAGCAGCCTCCTAGCTCAGAAGCAACAAAGCCCACATGGATGAAGCTCACCAGCCTGTGTAATCACGAGGTGTTGAAGGGATTAGGTATCAGCCATCAAAGAACAAAAATCATATTTTGTGAATGAGGGGGAGATTGGGGACTCAAAGCCTATCTGTAGGCAACTGGACATTCCCTTACAGAAGGGTTGCAGGCAGCATTTGTAGGCCACTGGAGATCCCTTTGCAGAGGGGTCTCGGGGAGGAGACGAGCCA